AGTCCAGAAAAATGAGGAATCCGTGTTAATTGATGAATATATCTGAGCATCTGTTCATCTACACACTGTATCTACTTTAATGTGGAGAATCTTTGAAGACCTATAATTAGTCATCTTCTAGACTCATCTAAATTTTTCTAAATCCTTCAGTTCTTTTATTAGTTTTGCTTGCGATCCTTCTTGTGCTTTAATCCAGATTTTTCCATTTCTTGTCCATGTCGCAACTATTTTTTTTTGTTTTTTTAACAACCTAGCTTCACGGGCAATATTTCCATTTCTTTTTGTTAAATGTTCGTTTATGTAAACTTTTGTTCCCTTTAGTTTTTTTTGCTTGCATGATTACACTATTTCTTGATTTCCTGCTAATGAATTTTACAACAACAACCGGTTTAGATTTTTCAGATTTGCTGGGTAAGGTGTGACACAAAGAAATATCTTCATGATTTATATCAATCTCCCTGTCTTGTAAAAAGGAGACCACCTGTTCTTCTAAAGTCTTCTGTTCCATTGGAGTTGCATCTTCAGTAATTCCTTCACCAGCAGCGACTTTTGCATATGAACGATTTTTAATCTCCAGTCCAGTTATAATGAGGTTATCTTGTCTAGAGTTCTGTTCCAAGTCGTCAATCCTTTGTTCGAGTTCCACTATTTTTTTTATCTTTGAGATTTATTTGTAATTTCAATTTTTTGACTTCTTCAAACAAACCCATCAAGAATTCCTGTTGTGATGTTAGTTTCACAAGTTCTGAACTCATAAAGTTCAGAGATTTCCGTATTTCTTCCATATCGTCAGAGTTTTGTTCAGTCAAATCATGTTTTCTTAGTTTGGATTTTGCCATTACTCACAAAACCACCTGCCCGATGGCCATGGTTTATCAAGTCGTTAGCCAAGAGCCAATGTCAGATCACGGATCCAACCAGCGCCTCGATCTCCACCGCAGCCCCAGACTCTCCCTGGATCCACGGCGGTAACTCGGCTCCGAGCAGGAACGCGGATCCAACGGCGACAGTCTCCCACACCATCGCACTTTCTCACAACAGCAGCAGCCCCAGACTCGACAGCCGAAAGCCGACACACAGCACCCAGGTCCACCAGGCCCTCGAAGGCAGTCTGTCAACCAGCAGCCACCGCCCACAGACCCGACGCCAGAAGATCGGCCTCACGGCTTCAACAGTCCTCAGAGCCAACAACACGACACCGCATCACCCCCGAGCAACGAAAGCGTGTCGATAATCAGCTATATTAATTTGGCCCATTAGATTTTGAATTGGTTGTTTGAAAAATGTATAGCTCCCGTGCAGCGCAGGGATACTTTGAGTATCTTGATAAGATAGAAAGGTGCTATACAGTCCATAGGTAAAACTAAATGTTAAACAAGCTGATAAAATACATAAACATGCAGGAAATGGCATCTAATTTATTCAAAATTTTCTGCGGTTGGACCCCCCCCACACACACACACTTTACAAATGGTTCTGATACCAACGGCCACCTCATTGCTCAAGCCAAGTGCACAGGGGGCTAAGCACCCCTAAAGGTCAGATTCTAGAATCACCCTTGACAACTATCATGTAAAATTGTAGCCCAACAACTGTGTAACTGACTAAGTTGTAGCTACTTTTGTGATTTTTATGGTTGCTTATCTGTGACCATAATCAATGTAGCTATATGCTACCAATTTTATTAAAAACTGACACATTTTGATAACAGAGTCAGTGATGACTCTAACATTTATTTGTCTTAACTTTACTCGTTTTCAGCTTCCTGGCGGACAGACTTTGGAGTTTCCTAAAGTGGTGACAGCTGAGTTTGGTAACGACACCAACAAACACACAGTGTGTGCCTATGGTCACGTGGACGTCCAGCCAGCAAAGCTGGAGGATGGCTGGGCTACAGATCCCTACAACCTGACAGAAATCAATGGTAACAATCTTCATCAAAGTGCACAATAAGACAGTAAAATATATATATATAAAAAAAAAAACGACTTTTGGAGTCAACCTAATGCAAGCTTATCCACCACAGCTAACTCAGCTTAGAAAACACAGCAATGTTTATAACTTAATTGATGTTGGAGAAAATCTCTCTCACTAATGTTTACTCAAAAGAACCACACTCAACAGCAAGAGAACATTTTTAACTGGTATTTATACTTGCAAGGTCAGATTTCAGGAGAGGTTACATAAATAGACATATCACATACACAGATGTACACGCATGAAAACCTGTCACAGAAAAAAGCCACACGCTGCGTTATCTGCTCGTTTCTATACTCCACTCAGCTCAGCTGAGTTCACAGAGTTCAGGAGGTGTCCTTGAAGCCAGCTGCAGTCATCTTACCCAGTGTTAACTCAAACATATTGTTCATGGGCAGAGATAAGATAGTGTCTCTGGAGACGGTTTCAGCTTGCTTTGGGCTTCTTGCTCTGAGGGCAGAAAGTAAGAATGTTCTCAGCCAAAGTAATTAAAACATTCATAAGCTTTGATCAAACATTCCCTGACAGTTGACTTTACATAAATTGATCTAAATCTTGATGTGGTAGTATCTGAGAGTAATTCAAAACTCATACTTTGAGTGTGACCTCTTGTTATATTGCATGGGATAGCGCATAGCATTTTACAAACATCATTAAATTAATATTTATGTAACAGACATTTCAAATTCTATCTTACTAAACACATGTTTACAGACTGACACAAGTCTGTCTGTTTCTCTGTTTTCCTGCACGTCTGTGTTTTCCTCATCATTATGCACAGCTGATCCTAATCACAATCATCCCAGGTGCTCCTCAATCGTCTCATTACTTTTTGTATAAATTCTCGGTCTGGTTACTTTCTTGTTATCCAGGGATTATCCTTTCACGGTGTCATGTTCTGTATCTGCTCCACCTGTTGTCTCCTCTGTACGTGTTGCTGCCCTGTCAGCATTTTGTTTTGTTTTGTAAAATAAATCATTATTTTTTCACTACTGAGTCCTCCCGCTTCCCTGCGCGTGGGTTCAAATCTAAACTGCAGATCATGACAGAATCCCTGGATCACAAACCGAACCCAGCAGGTTGTTAGCTTTTTGCTGATCTTGCCCCGAAGGACCAACGAGTCAAGGAGGTAATGGACAATTACCTCGACACGTTGACCACTGCCAATAACACCTGGGTGATGTATGTGGTCACGCAGATCCTTATTAATGAGTTTACCCAGCTTTCGGAACTGGTAACTATATCAGGGATATGGGATTTGTTCAACGTGATGGTGAAGGAGGAGAGGAGGCTGCACACTTTTCTACTGTCATCTGTCACCCCCATCAACGGCCAGCCTGGTTCATCTACGGACTCATCTGCAGGAGATAATCCCTCCACAGATCCATCTTCTCACTGCAGACATAAGACGAGCCAGTGACAGAACCAGTCTGGGTTCACTGAATTCTAGCTCCTCCCTCCAGCTCCTCCCTCCAGCTCCACCCTCCAGCTCCTCCCTCCACCTGAGTCTCTTCAGACACACAAGAAGGAGCGGTAGATAATTTTGTAGGGGGAGGGGCACCTAAGCTCCCACTCGCCTGAAGCATAGGCATCGCAACCATTATATGTGAAGGGGACAAGTCCCCCCCACTTTCCAAAAATGTTCATTTGGACCCCCCCCCCCCCCCACCCACACACACACACACACTTTTACTATCAAGCATAGTTCAGTCGGCGCAGTTTCTCTTTCTTCGTAAACAAATCCATTCCACTTAATTAATAGGAGAATACTCAAACCACGAAAACTCCACTCCAGGTTTTCCTGGTTACCTCCAACTCTAAACACAGCAGCTTGTTGCCACGGTCACAGTATATGGTGTAACACCTGCAGTGTTTCTGTGTGTCTCCTCCTGCTTCGGCAGAAAACGTGCACAGGTGGAGGAGATGGACCGACCTCTGTGCTACTCGCTCGCCAGTTTAGCAGCTTAGTGCGGGCAGTTGTTGACCGGAGGGTTGATCATAAACATATATTCATGTTAGGATGCTTGAGAGGAGCTACGTCTGTAGCATCTTAGCAGTAACTGTGACGCTGTAAGACGCTGCAGGTGTAAGAGACGCTGTGTGTTCAGGTGCATTAAAGTTGAAATGTCTTTAAAACCCCACACCATATTGTCCTCAAGCTTCGTGAGAAACATCATTTAGAAGAGTAGTGTTGAACACAAGTAAAAAAACTCTAGCGGTGATGTTTTTTTATTTCTCTATAAAGACAAATAGTGCCGACCTGACACTCTGTATTAAAGTGTATTAAAGTTAAAATTACTTTAAACCCACAGCTGAATTTACACAAACTTGGTAAGAAACATGTTTTAAATGTGTGGAATTAAAGGAAATCTAGGTGAAATGTTGCTTTTTTGTTCACTAGTGAACACCTTTTTTAAAACGCGCGCACACACACACCCCTACACACATCATTACGGATGCTTCTGATGCCCTTGGCCTGAAGTGCTATCAAATGCGCGCTCGCGGCTCATTCAGTCGTGCGACCAAGCCTTACGTTCGTGCGCGCAACTTGTTCACTTGCGCATGTAGGTTACACGGTCGTGCACGGGTCTGTACGTCCAGTTTAAGTCCAAATTGGCATGTCATACTATCAGGATCTCATTCAGTGGAAGAACAGAGTCCAACAAACTCCCTGTGGCCACTACGATCCTAACGTCTCCTCCTGAGGTCTTAGTGACAGCTTCAGCCTCTCTGGTCTCACCATCAGCTTCAGCCTGTCTGATTCTCAAGAATCACTGAATAACAATTTTCTGCAATCAGTGTCATGTTTGTCTGATTGCACACACTGGACCATGGTGTGTGTGTACCATGACGGTGCAGCAAGATACATGTTCATTCCTAAAATTGGAACATGAAGTTTATCCAAACATGATAACTGACTAACTTACAGTTCAGTAATAAATTTATTGTTCAGATGGGAAATATGCCTCTATGTTTTGTGCCAATGTACTTTAGGAAATCTGTATGGAAGAGGAGCATCAGACAACAAGGCCCCAGTTTTGGCCTGGATTCATGCGATTGAAACATACCAAGCTCTCAATATGGTAAGAGAAAGTCCACTGCGAAACTGAACAAATAAAAACAAATGTATGAGGTTGATACAGAAGCCACTGCCTCTGTACCTTCAACTTCAGATGAAACATTTGCCAATCCTCACTTACAAAATACTTTCAGTGATTTGAGTTGATTGTTCAGGTCAGGGCTATTCAACTAGCAGCCTGGAAGCCACATGCAGTCCGCAGGTGAACACAGTGATGCGGTTATTAAAAAATAAAAATAAAATTTAAAACAGAAAATGTATTAATTACATAATAATAATAATAATAATAATAATAATAATAATAATATCCATCCATTATCTTTTACCCGCTTCCTCCATTTTGGATCACGGGGGTCGCCGATGTCCATGTTCAGCAATCAATGTGCGAGGGGTGGGGTACACCCTGGAAAGGTCGCAAGTCCATCACAGGGCCATAATAATAATAATGATGATTATAATCCATCCATCCATTTTCTTTACCCGCTTATTCCATTTTGGGTCACGGGGGTCGCTGGTGCCCATGTCCAGCAATGACTGTGCGAGGGGCGGGGGCCCTGGACGGGTCGCAAGTCCATCACAGGGCCACATAGAGACAAACGAGACAAACAACCATTCACTCTCTCACTCACACCTAGGGACAATTTAGAGTTACCAATCAGCCTAACATGCATGTTTTTGGTCTGTGGGAGGAAACCGGAGTACCCGGAGAAAACCCACGCATGCACGGAGAGAACATGCAAACTCCACCCAGAAGGCCCCTGGACCGGGGTTTGAACCAAGGACCTGCTCGCTGAGAGGCAGCAGCTCTACCAGTTGCGCCACCGTGTTGCCCATGATTATAATTATTATTATTATTAATATCATGTTATAGATGGTTTATGACAGGTCTATATAACTTAGTTTGCCTACCCAGTTCACCCAAAGCCTTAATTGCTGTCAAAATTCACAATTTTTTCAAGGATTTTGATTTGAATTTTTACACTTCTAACACAATTTCTCCATCCTTAAATCATTATTTGAGGATTAATGTAACTCAAACCCATCAGGGTTTTTGTAAAAGTAGCAGCAGGAAACAGCAAATATTCCTAAAATAGTTTACAACTAAATCTGGCATTCTATTACAAAAATTATCTATTTCATATTTGGCATTCCAACGATAATTTTCATATTATCTTAGCACAACCTTTTTCTTTAATGCTCGTCACGAGCCAAATTTGTTCCCGCGGACTACTCCCTTCAGTCAACTCTAATCTTTATAACTATTATTCACCATTTCTTTCAGAAGAAGAAAAAATTTACTTTGTTCGTGGTGTTTCTGATTCTGTTCTTCTCGCTCCAACTTTGATGACATCCAGGGATTATTTGACTAAATCAGTATTCTTCGTGCACCAAGACTGTACCAGTATCCCCTCAACTACTGGTAGGCAGTCCTATTTTGACTTGATGGGCAGCAATTTAATGACCAGGTTGAGCACAATAAATACAAACTTTGTTTATATCCTTCTTTGTCGTCGTTCATGCATCAACCTTGCTTGACTCAACTGCATGTGTTCAGTCTCATTTTCCCTGTAAACTGGTTTCAACAAAGGTGACATCATGTTGGTGGTAAGACAGAGATAGTTAGAAGTTAGGAGTAGCATCTTGGGATTTGTAGTTTTTGGACTTATTTCACAGATTCAGTTTCTAATTGGAATTATATCAAGAATGGGTCATCCTGCAGGTATTGGTTTGAGGGTGATTCTGGATTGTTATCAATTCAAATGGTATGGATGGTTACCAGAGTCCACAGTTGTTCCACAGGAAGCGAGGTCCAAGAGATTTCCCCAGAGTTCTGTTCCAACTGTTCTTGAGTTCTCATAGATCAAACTACACATAGAGCTTCAGAGTGCAAAAGGTAAAAACGACAATTACTGGCAAAACTTTTGCTGACAAACAACAAAAACTTGGCTGTGAGTGACATGTATGCTGGTATGATGGAGTGGTGACTGGATTTCAGCCCAGGTCTTAAATAGCTGGTATATTGATGACTCGTGAAGAACAGATGTAGAGATATTGGGCACCGGGATGTGAGGGATGGATGGAAAATAGTTCCAGCTCCACTGCACCTTCTAGTGGCAGGATCCTCACATGTATCTCTTTGACTTTTCATCATGGCTCCCTCTTGCAATTTGTTGTAACTCATCAATCTGGTGTGACAGCAGATTTCTCTTGTGGATGTTAGAACACTGGATCACAAGTTGTTTCTGAGTCAAATAGGAAGTTGAACAATTGTTGAATATGCTGATTCCATGGAGAAAGAAAAGAGGAGAACCACAAGTAAGGTTATAGAGTGAAAAAGGACATGCAGAGGGTTGGTGTGACAGAGAAGGATTCTAGGAATAGAGTAAAATGGAGGCAAATTATCTGCTATTGTGAGCCCTAAAAAGAGTTAAAAAAAAAAGTAGATGAATATAATCATCTATAAATATAATATATAAATGAATGATATTTTTGATTAATATGCACTGATGATTGCCAAATGAATCTTGTAGATTTGTTTTTGCTATCATTCAGGAGTTACCTGTGAATGTGAAGTTTCTCATCGAGGGTATGGAGGAGACAGGGTCTAATGGTCTGGATGCCATGATCCTAGCCCAGAGAGACACTTTCTTCTCAGATGTTGATTACATCATCATTTCTGACTGTGGTTGGCGGAGTAGACGACCGGCCCTCACTTACGGCACCAGAGGAAACTGTTACTTCTTTGCTGAGGTTGTAAAATTGTAGTGTTATCTATTTTACACAATTCTCTGTTAAAACCTACACTTTACACTTGAGTCCAGCTGTTTTAGTAATGTTTCTTTGGTGTTTACAGGTTGAAGGACCCAAGCAAGACTTGCATTCTGGTGTCTATGGCGGTGTTGTGATTGAACCAATGACTGATTTGATTGGCATCCTTGGTTAGTTTAACTCTCAATCCTAACTCATAAATTTGAAACATGTATGCCATCTTATTAGGCTCTAAAGTTCTACTTTGATATTTGATCCAATTTCTTATTTATTGTTACCAAAGCACCAAACTGGAGCAGAGTTAGTTATTTACTTAGACATAGGTCGTTATTTAAGAGTTGGCCCAAATACCAGTTCCACACATTGCAAAGACTATTTAGCCCTACCTAACCATTGTGAAGAGGCAAGTTGTTCATTTTCTTTGAGGATCAAGCTAGAGTGTTCATCTAGCTTTTCAGCTGGTTTGTTAGGAAGCATTCAACATCTGAATAATAACTACTAAATCCCAAAAAGAAAGGGGGGCACTTGCCTACTTGAAGGATTGAAACTAGATGGTAAATTGTGAAGGTTTAGGATAGGAGGAAGACAATTCAATACATGTACTGAATATAGAAAAAAAGTTTTTTATTTGAGGTGATTACTCACATCCCTTAAATGATCCCATCCTAATTTAATCCTACGCTCCAGATACCCTCATCAGTCCCAGTGGAAAGATCCTGATTCCTGGGATCAGGGAAGCTGTGGCTCCCCTCTCGGATGAAGAATGGAAAATGTACCAGGATATTGAGTTCGATATGAACTATTACAAGGAAAATATTGGTGTCAGTCAGCTCATGTACAACAACAAGGTAGTAAAAGTTCATTATTGACCTAAACATGTTCCTTCACAACAGTTTGTATAATTCAGTTTCTGTTCAAAAGGTGGATCTGTTAGCTCACATGTGGCGCTACCCCACTGTCTCCATTCATGGTATCCAAGGTGCCTTTTCTGCCAGTGGAACAAAGACTGTCATTCCTGCTAAGGTTACTGCCAAGTTCTCAATAAGACAAGTACCCAACATGGATCCTGCTTTGGTCAAGAAACAGGTAAAAGATATGTTTATTGTGAAACGATTGTTTGTTTAAAATTATTTTTATACTCTTCTTTCTCTGTGTTTTAGGTAACAGACTACCTTCATTCAGTGTTTGCCAAAAGGAAGAGTCCCAACAAGTTGGAAGTCACTATGGTGATTGGGGCTAAGCCCTGGCTGGCTGACACCCAACATCCTCTCTATGAGGCAGGAAAAGCAGCTGTCAAAAAAGGTATGAGGCTGCTGGATTTAAAAACATACAAATTTTTATCTTAATTTACATGAAACACCTTAAATTCACAAGCAGGGTGAAATCTGCAAATTGTCAATTTAAATTTCTACAGTACATAGATGAGAACTTTTCTATTACATATAATACTAATACTACACAAAATTGTTTTTTAATGTATGTCAATGTTTTTGTTCAGTGCCCTGAGACAACTTCTGTTGTGAGTTGGCACTAATAAACTGAATTAAATTGGTTAAAATTCTGGTCCGGGGGCCTTTCTGGGTGGAGTTTGCATGTTCTCTCCATGCTGTGTGGTTTTTCTCCGGGTACTCCAGTTTCCTCCCACAGACGAAAAACATGCATGTTAAACTGATTGGTAACTCTAAATTGTCTCTAGGTGTGAGTGAGAGTGAATGGTTGTTTGTCTCGTTTGTCTCTATGTGTCCCTGTGATGGACTGGAGACCTGTCCAAGGTGTCCCCTGCCTCTCGCACAGTGATTGCTGGACATGGGCACCAGTGATCGTCGCGACCTGAAAAGGAAGAAGCAGGTAAAGAAAATGGATGGATGGAATATACATATTCATATATTGGAGAAACTAAACAACGTCTCCAGTCAGATGACTCAACACAGGAGAGCTATCACTTCATGGTAAGACTTACCTGTTCACCTACAGCTCAAGGATGAAGGGCACTCCAATGAGGACCAAAATTATCAAAATGAGGAAAGAGAAGATGGATCGTGTCAAATGAGAAACAAACAAAAAAAAATAAACAGAGCAGGAGGTGTCAGTTTTTAATGCTCAAAAACTAAAATGCAACATTTACAGTATTTTCCACCATACATGTCGCACTGCCCTATAATCAGTCCAAATATGTCTAAAAATGTGGAACAATCCATAAATATGTCGCTTCGCCGTATAAATTGCATCTATTATGCATCACCGCTGATGCGTCGTGTTTGTAACGCGTCACCACTGACAACCCAGAAATGTGGAACGGTGTTGTGCCAAAAATCAATTGGCTGCCAAATGGCGGCCGCGGGAGCGTGCACAGGAGGACTTTAACAGGAATTTAACAAGATTAACACTTAAAAACTATTATTTGTTTGCTCAATATTATAGTAAAGGTGTGTCTCAGTCTAACGTTTACTTAATAAAATAAATTGAACGGTCACATCAGCTGTATTCACTGCCTCGGTGCTCTGGGACCGCACAGAGGAAGGACAAAAATAAGGAGGAACGCTGTCCGTTTCTTTGAAATTTAACAAATGGTAAATGGACTGTACTTATGCATACAAAGCCAAACCCTGCCCCCACCTAGGACTGTCAGACCACATCTCAATCTTCCTGGCTCCTGCTTACATGCCCCCACTGAGACGCTCCAGACCGGTACAAAAGAAAGTTAAATGTTGGAGCCAGGACAGTGGCCCCATACTGAGAGATTGTTTTGACCGAACAGACTGGCAGGTTTTCAGAGAAGCTGCTGAAAATGGAGGTTTGCTTGATCTTGACCAATACACATCCTCAGTACTGGGTTACATTAGTACATGTACTGACACAGTCTCCACTATCAGAAATGTTAAAAGCTACCCAAACAGAAAACCTTGGCTGAATGCAGAGGTGCGTACCCTGCTGGAAGCCAGGAACACTGCCTTCAGGTCTGGAAACTCAGAGGAGCTGAGTAGGACAAGAAAAGAGCTGGTTGCTGGTATTAAGAGGGCCAAGGCCACATATGCAAAGAGGATCGAGGGTCAATTAATCTCACAAGACCCTCGGAGCATGTGGAGGGGCATTAAGTGCATAACAGATTATAAAGGAAGGAGTGAACAATGCCCCAAAGACCCATCTCTGCCTGATGCCCTCAACAAGTTCTATGCACGCTTTGAAGACCCGAACAGACCACCCAGCACCAGACTCATCTCGCCACCGGATGAAGAGCATCTCAGCGTGACCTCAGCAGAAGTAAGGAGTACCTTCAGGAGGATTAATCCGCACAAAGCAACTGGCCCAGACAACATCCCCGGAAAAGTGTTGAAGGAATGTGCTGATCAGCTCTGTGAGGTGCTGGCAGACATCTTTAACACCTCACTTACCCTGGAGACAGTTCCCACCTGCCTGAAGACTGCCACCATCATCCCAGT